TAGTAATAATAGCATATAGTAATAATAGTATAATATTAAATATATCAGAATTTGAAAAAAAAAATGCGTGAAAAAGGATCGCAAAATAATAATTTCTGAAATCATCACGAATCAAACACTTTCAAAAAGTGACAACACAAATTTGAAACTCATCTTTCATTCACAAACATTCAAAAACAAACAAAGTGGCCCTCCCTGCAAAAAACAGAATGAACCCTGGATGCGATATTTAAAATTATTAATTCAAATACAAACTTTTTATAGTCTCACTTAATGAAATATATCTATTTTCAAATTGAAAATAGTTGATTACTTCCAAACTAGAACAAGTCTATTTTTAGGGTTGGTATTTCAGATGTTAAAAAAAAAAGCTTGCAAACATCACAATATGCTAAGAAAAACTTTAAGGGAGTGGTAGAAGTTTTGAAATCATTTCGAGCACAACCTTTTAAATTTCAGAGTACCCATTCCGCACTTTGAAAAAAGATATTTTTGGAGCTATTTCAAGCAAATAACTTCGTTTAATCAGCACATATAATTAAAAGACAAGTTTTTCATTTCATTCAGATAAATTTATCAATGTTGCACGCAAATTTATCAATGATCTGAACTCATAAAATTACTGCTTTCTAAATAGTTTTGGTAATATATTAAAGCAGAACTGTTACTAACCACTCAGAATAAGCAACTCTAAAAGTGAAGAAAATTTTATATGATGTTATCAAGTTTTGTTCTGTTACGTAAACAATTATACATAATTTGGTATTTCTAATTAAGGCCTACAAATATAGTTTGCAAAACAATATTATTCGTCACTAAAAAAGAGTAGTAATAATTTTATTAGTGTGATTCTCAAGTCTTGACCTAAAATGTTCAACATAATTCTGCTCCTAGGGAAAATGTTAGGAATACTTTAAAAATTACAATATTATTAAGACTACAATTAAAAATTTACATTTTAGTTAAAAATAATAGTTTTAATATAAATTTTTAATGAATGATTGAATTTAAAAAATGCAAAGATATTTCAAAACTGAGAATTCTTTTTTTTTTGCATTTTGCAATTAAACAATTTTTTATAACAAGGAAAGAAATTAAATGCTTACCCCAGCAGTAATAATGCTCAGACCGATGCCATTATTACTTTTCTGTAAGTGGATTGTAACTACTTCTGCTTCTTGGTTTTTCCAGCTGCTGCTACCATCAACATGACTGTGTAAACTTGGACTACGAGCCTAGAAATTAAATTACAATTTAATCCTAACATTTCTCAAATACGTGTTATTAGATTTTTTAAAGACAAAGTCGTTACTTTTTAAAAGTGGCACACTTTCTAAAAAGTACTTTAAAAAGTAATCTTACGTATTCACAGAATAAATAAGAATAATAAATAAATTAAGACGGTAAAGAAAATGTCTCTTAAAACACAACAGAACAAATACAGACAAGTTTTCACACATGACCACATGAATCAATAATTGGGGATGACCTAGAAAAAAATTAGGTCCATTTAAGGACCATTNCTGAATTATAAAAGGCTGCTTGTCGAATTATTTCAATATTCGATATATAAAAAGTCTCACACACATTTACTTAAAGTCTTTAATACACAGATTAATTTTCAAGCAATTTCTCAGAACAATTGAAAGAAACAATATCAAAATGAAATTAACTATTTGAATGTAATACATAAATTTTAATTACCCCAGAAGGCAACCTGCCAATATCTTGATCAGACATGTAAATAGTCCAATACCCAGAAGATGTAGACTGAATTGTAAGACGACAAAGACCTTTAACAAAATATTAAACATGTTATATACAACACTCCTGGTAATATATTTAAGTAAAATAAGTTATTAATAATAAAAGCTACTACATTAATGAATTCAAAAATACTTTAATTCTAATCAAAAATACTTTAATTCTAATCATACATTAAAAAAAGTCAGAATAAACAAATTTCACGAATAACTTTAAAAAGGGAGAAATATGTGGCTCTAATAATTATAATAAAAAGCAGGGGGGAAAAAAACTATAGCTACAATGAAATTTAGTATGCTGACAACAATGTAACACTTGACATCAGAAAATATTCAACATTAATTTAAATCACATAATTAGTAAATAAATGTTAGTCATGTTTTTTAAAAGTTGCTAAAACTTAAAGTGAAACCCATTTCCAATTAACTGAATTATGGTTTTTACTTAACAATCATATATATCAAAGTAAACTGAGTGTGTAATGTTTAACTGAGGCTTTACAAATATGAAATATTTGTAATTGTGTTTTTAGGTAAATGAGGACTTCTAAAGAATTCTAACAGAGAGAACACTTTCATGACAGCAATTTCTTTCTTAAGGTAAAAATTATTAGTTTCGATTTATAATGGATAATTATTCAAAACTATTCTACCAAAATTTACTCTACATTTTCATCAAAATGTGATCGATATTTTTTTTTAAAACAGATCATAACAGAA